AATATTTATCAAATAATAACTAAAGAAATATATTTATTAAAATAACCTAAAAAATAAAAAATATTTTTAATAATATTTAGTAAAATAACCTGAAAACAGAAGGCATAAATGGGGGAGGGGGAAAATGAACATACCCTAAGACAGGCCAGTGCAACACCGAGTGCCATCACATCGCTGAGCATATGGAACGCGTCAGCGACTAGCGCCATCGAATGTGACATATAACCGAACGTTAATTCAACGACACAAAATGCGACTGTCATCAGAAGCATGATGATCAGACTGCTACTCCGCGATAATCGGTGCCCGCTGTGTGCATGCTCGGATGATGATCCCTCCGTTCCCTCGCTTCCCGCACTTTCACGTCGCATCAACTTTTGCTTCATTGTACCCGAACCTTCAAAATTTTCTAAAATACTGACATTCCTCAAAATTATCACGAAATAATCATTTAAAATCAATAAAAACAGCCTTTTTTTTGCTGTCACAAGCTTTGCAGTTCCGAAGTCTACAGCCTAACGTACACTAGCAGTTTTCCATTCTCAAAAAATCCTAGTAACTTTACCTATTCAAAGATTCCACATTATGGAAGACGCTGAAGAACAACTGTTAAAATGGTTGAGGTAGGGAGGTAGGTCTGATTTAATTTTCATCGTACTTATTTGATCATACAACAATTACTTTAATTTTATTTTTTTTAATTTTAATTTTATTTCTTCTCTTCCTCCCCAATACTTGCAACACCACGACCGTCGTACTGACGAGGTCCGGTTGTACTGAAAAGAATGCATGCGACATGATCGGCCAAAAAATTCCCATTCAAAAATTTCCTTTTTTTCTAATTCTTTTGAATTTGACTGGCTGTTTTTTAAACTTATCATCTGAAAAATTTTTACTACGACGGTATTACTTTAGCGTTACTCTAACTGTACTGGCACCCCCAAAGTTATCGTAGCTGAAGCAATCAATGAGGCTGCTTGCCAATGGCATTTTAATATTTCTACGGGGATCACGGCTTGTAGCCATGTTGGCTCTCTGGCCATCTCAACGACTTTATATTTGTCCTCCTTGAAAAAATTTCCTTCGAGCTAAAACGGAGCTTTCCATTTAGAAAAAAAAAAAAAAAACTGCAGAATGCTTGCTCAAAAAGCGAAAAATAACGATGAAAGATGGCGGTAAGTAATAAATTTACTGAGACGAGCGGCACAACACCTAATAATCGGACAGTGAGACAGGAAACGCTGCCCTTAGTTGAAGGGCAGTAAAGCAACGGCTAGACAAGAATGAAGGAAAGGGACAAGGGGACAAAGGAAGAGGAAGAGAAAGTGGGAGACTAGTGATGATGAGCTGATAAGCATCATAACCGACCGGCTGTGCTAATGCTATTTATACTGGGCGAAGAAAAAAAGCTAAAAGCAAGCTGAAGACAGCCAATTCCATCTAACGCTTCAATATTCCGCAGTGACTTGCATTCTGATACGCTTACATAACTCAATCAAACTTATTGCGATGGAAAGTAAACAGGCGTTTGGCGCGAATATGAAAAAAAAAAAAAAAAAAACAAAGCAAAGAATGCCAAGTTCGTCCGAACAGATAGTATGGGCATTTGACTCCCCGGGTGGTCCTGGCTATTCTTTTCATTTTTTTTTTCCGTTCAGTGGATCGAAACATTCTTTTTCAGTTATTTTTCCTCTCTTTCTCGCTACATTCTATTATAAAATATTTTAACGCACTCTGTTTACAGCTCAGGGATGAAACACAGACAGGTTACCAAGTCACTGTATACACAAGCTTGCTTATTTGAGGGATCTAAATGTTACTTCCAGTTTTTCATTAATTATCAAAATTCGATTGTGTTCCTCCCCATGGTGGGCAAATAACGCCAAATAAACTGCATATGTTAACACATGGACGATTTCAGGCCCCCGTCCCCTTCCAATCTGCTAGCCAGGGATATTCACTGTTTGTATCTTTAAAATTTCTACAACACTTATTCAATAAACATTTTTCACTTACTACTTATATGTATTTAACTCTGAACCATTTCTCAATGCTCTTTTCTAATATTGTCCCAAACATTTTTACGTATTTTTGCGTGTGTGCAAATGTAACTCAGGCTGGAACGCACCAGGCGAGCCGGTGCGATCATGCGTTTTTGCATCAAAACTTTGAGGTACTC